TTTTTTTTTTTGCCTTTTTGCTGTGTCATGCCCAATGTGGCTTTTGGAACCGCGGCGGCCCTTGCGTCTTCAGGCGCCAGGGGTTGGGCGGCGGCAGCAGCAGCAGCAGCATCGGACGGAACTTTTCTACAAAGTAAAGAATAAAGCTCAGGAGCTGTTCTTTTTCCTTTTTCCCCCAATGACACCGCCATTTGTGTGGAGTGTCATTGCCATAAAAAAAGAATAGCGACACGAGCTTTGAGACAAGAAAGGCTGCGGGCGCTGCTGGCTGACATTCAAACGAAGTTGAGGTATTTCTTGAGTCTGTCCAGTGAATTGCATGTGTGTTTGTGTGCATATATATATATATATATATGATACGTGTGTGTGTTAATGGTGTTTTACGTGAAGTGACCCGATCGACTGGGCGTTGCGTAGCGCTTAATCTATTCAAATAGTACATCCTGACGATGAAGTGGAATCCATTTCAACAGAGCTGCCTTAGTGGTGTGTGTGCCCACTGAAGGCGCTGACGGGAGGAGAAAAAGAAGATATATGGTAGTGTACCATTCGCCGATAATGTAGGAACATATTAATTGTATATGATCGCTTGAACTGCGCCAATAGAGCAGGAATGAGGTACCAAAAGAAAAGAAAACCAAATCGAGAAGCGGCGTTGCACGAAGTGTGTCTGTTTTGCCGATTGTAGTAAATATTGGCCGGCAAAACTCGCACGCCGTAGCGACTGACCAATTCAGCAGTGGGGGATTTTTCACACGCAAATCATTCTAAAGAAAAACGGTTTTCTCTTGCCCTCCGTGATTGTCGAGTGGGGCGCGACTCGCCAGCTGCCGGTGTGCCGTCGTGGGCGCTCCTGCAGCGGGGCGGCTGGCGCTGGGGCGGAGATGACATGTATACGTAAAACCACGCGCACATCAACCGAAATGAAAATCACAGAAGCCAGGGGGAGAGGAGGAGTTCTAAGTGGTACGCAATGCATCCGAAAACAAAAAAAAACCAAGGAGGAAACGAAATGAATAAATGGAAGAAAAAAGAAAAGAATGACGGTAGAATGAAAACGCGAAAAAAAAGATGAGAGAATGAAGAAGGGTCGCGTAGAAGCGTGTGGCACACAAGCGGGGAGATTCCACACAAGAGGGGGTTCTGGAGGGGAAGAGAGACAAAAGGAAGAAAAGAACACGAGGAACAACTGCAAACAGTGAGGATGGCAAAAAAAAAAGAAAATAAAAGAGATGAGGGCGCATGAAGGTGCCTTCCTTCCATTGCAGGGGACTTGTTTGTCGCCCCCATAATCAGAGATCAGCACCTTTTCTTCTTTCTTTACACAAATGCACACGAGAAAAAAAAGCGTCTGTGTGTTCTTTGCTTGCAGTGCGTCTTTTGCCGTGGCTCTCCTCTGTGCCCCCCTTCGTTGCCGTTCCTCGTTGGCCAGGGATACGTATGCACACAATGGGTTGGCGCGTATGACCCCTTGTATTTATAGGCGTACGCGTAGGAACGTAGAGGACACATTATAAAGGAATGAAAACAGAGGGCTTTAGCCTCTTTGCGGGTGTATGTGTTTATGGTGTGTGTATGTGTGTGTGCGCATATTTGTAGGTCCTTCGGAAATCTGTAAAACAAAAAGTCTGATTGCGCCAAGCCGGCCATTTTTCAATCGTTTGCTCTCCATGGTGTGCGTGCCGTTATATCGTCTCTTAATGAGACAGCCTGAGAAGAGCGCACCTGCCAGGAAGCCCAAAAAAGAAAAGGAGGCATCTCTCTTTAATAATAATGAAAAAAAAAAGCAGAATGAGGAGGGACGAATACTTTTCTTCACTGTGATTTTACCCCACATCACGCGGATGTGTGGGCACTGCGAACTATGTATGTGTATGGATATGCACATGTATCACTGAACTAATTTCATATTGGATGCTGTTGTTTCTCAATTTCTCTCTTGTTTTGGTTCTGTGTCTTGCTATGCGTGCAAAGTTGCGGTGTAGAGTTCTTAGGCTGCTATTCCCCCTGCAGTCCCCATGTCAAAGAGTAAAGATCCATTCTCCTTGATGGCCATGTGGGGCTCGGTTGAGAGCTACACGCCCAAAGAAGATTTCAGTTTTGAGGGACCGGAAAAGCGTTTGGAGGTCATCATGCGGCTCAACGATGAAACACATGTGAGTGGTCTTCTCGCTCTGGACGACGAGGTTTGGGCAGGCGTCGTTGGTGCATTGGATGCTCAAATAGTATCCAAGGAGTCTAATGCGTACATTCGCTCTTATGTGCTCACAGAGAGTTCCCTATTTGTGAAGAAGGATCGCATCATTCTGATAACGTGTGGCCGAACCACGCTGCTTAACAGTATCCCCAACATCCTGGAGGCTGTGAGCACTGTGCGAGGGGAACCGGAGTGGGTCTCCTTCATGCACAAGAATTACAGCTTCCCGTGGGAGCAGAAGGGCCCGCATCACACCATGGAGGAGGAGTTCAACAGGTTAAAGGCGTACTTTCCGTCGGGTCACCCATTTATAATTGGACCTGTTGACAGTGATCATTATTTCTTATTCCTGTACCACGATATCATTCTTCCATGCCAAATGGAGAACGACACGCAGTTGAGCATGACAATGTACGGACTAGACCGCGAGCAGACGAAGCACTGGTTCTCGGACAAATTTGTTTCCACCAGCCCTGAGACAGCCGCTGTCCGTGAGGTGACTAAGTTGGCTAAGTTAATGGATGATTCGTGGGTGTTGCACGACTTATTGTTTGAGCCCTGTGGGTACAGTATTAATGCCATTCGAGGTGAGGAGTATCAGACAATTCACATCACACCAGAGGATCACTGTTCATTTGCTTCGTATGAGACGAACACGTGTGTCGCTGACTACTCGGAGCGCATGAGTAGCGTGCTGGAGGTATTTCGCCCATCCCGCTTCACGGTGATTGTTTTTATTGACCCTGATAGCGACGTTGGAAAACTGTACCACAAAGGGAAGAATATTGGTGTAGAGCCGGAGTACTATTCCAAGTACGATGTGCAACACCGCACGGTTAATGAGTTTGCCCCTGGATATGTCGCATTGAAGATTAACTATGTGAGACGGCCAGATCCCGACGCCGCCAGTGCAGGTGGTAACACTATACAGAAGTAATATTGTTGACAAGCCGGTCAAGACATGGGCCTTGCTTCATCTTCTTGGGTGATTGTTCACAGTTGTTGTATGAGATGTGACGCTGTTTGCTCCCCTCTTAAATGAAACCGCGGTATGTGGAAGAAGTATATATATATATATATATATATATACTCAATGACTTAAATATTGTTTTTTCTGTATGTAACTGGCTTATGTTTATCGTCAGTGATAGTAAAATGCTTCCTGTTGCGTTTCACTTGTATACACACATTTACACAGAAAAGCGTTGAGGTCAATGTGGCGTGTAAGTTTAGTACGGCGCGCAGCCGTAGTGGGCGGTGGCCTAAAGCTTTCAAGTTCCACCCCACGTCCGTATCAGCGCGTGCTACAGATGCTTCAGGCTGAAGGTGAAGGACTTCCTGCTGCAGGTGGTGTCTTTGATGACTTTCGTATCTTTTACCGACAGACCATGGCGAATGCGTCGGCATCATCAGCGCAGCCGAAGCCCCTTCAGCTGTTTTGCGGTGCATCCGAAGACGTGGAGCCGTTTGCTCTGCTCATGATGAGAGTTCTCTGTGATCTTCAGAAGCTAGAAGCGGTGCGATTTCTTTTCGCGCAATGCGTACTCGAACTCCACACTCCTTCCATCGAACTCTTCAATGTATATCTCCTCGCCATTTCCCTCACAGATACCTTCAATCAGTACGAGATTGAGAATGTTGTGGAGGTCATGCGCACAAAGAAGGTGGAGCCTGACATTGTAACGCGCCTTTCCCTCTTCATTGTGTACATGCGGCTCGGGCAGAACTACACCACGTGGTGGCCAACGATACACGAGGAAGTGCTGCGCATCGCCAAGGCGGGCCAGCGTGGCCAGTACCCGCTGCTCGAGGTGCGGCTGCAACACTGCTTTCAGACACTTCTTCGCATTCACCATGATGTGTCTATGATCCAAGAGTGCTTTGACCTCCTGAAGCTCATAGACAAGGAGAAGATCACCTCCCGTCTGTTATTGCCGTATATGCTCCTTAGTGCAAACAATGCGGCAACACCACCCGCAACGACTGTCCTTCTGCTACAGATGCTGGAGGAAGCAAGAAAGTTGGAGGCAACTTCGTCAGGAAGCGTAGCGGCGGAGGATCATTCAGTGCATGCGAATGAGGAGACATCCGTTCCCGTAAATTCGGATACAGTGTTAAACAATGAGCTCACAGCGTTAAAGCTCATGGCCAAGTGCGGCAAATGGGGAGACGCGGCCTCCGCCGCTCAGGTGCGCCAGTATCTACGCGACCATCCAGGTGTAGTGTCGCCCACAAACGAGGCAGTTGTCGCGCTGCTGTATGTGGAGGCACTGGCACGTGGTGGACTGCTGAAGGAGGCACTGACAGTCCTAGAAGAAGAGGTGCCGGCGGCGCAGAGTCAGCCAGGCCCACGCCCGAAGTTCTTCCTTGAGTCGCGGCGCGTAACACTCCTTAACGCAGACCCTATCATGACTCTTGTGCGACTCGTGGCGGTGGGCGGCGCAAACGTTGAGGAGGCGCTGGCGTTCCTCGAGGAGCGACACACAGCGGGAAGTGTGGTGAGTAATAAATCCCTCAACCTCTTGCTTGAGGCGTGCGTCCTGCTGAAGGATGAGGGACGGGCGTCAATGGTATTCGCCGTTTTTCAGAGTCTAGGCGTACCGAAGACGGCACGCACATTTCTCTTGCTTCTCCTGGCCTTTCCTGACGCGGCGAGTTCGGTGCGACGACTGCCAGACATGCTGACAGAGATGGCGGACTGCGGTGTTGACGTGTCGCCAGAATTTCTTCGCGGTGCTCTTGCAGTCGCGATTGACGCACAGGACGTCGCGGCCGCGATGCAGATGGTGGAATACCACGAAAGGAGGCGTGCGTCCATCGAGAGCAAGCTTGCGATACGTCTCATGAAATTATTATGCCTTGTTGTGGATGTTGAGAGTGTACGCCGACTCCTCACTTTGTTGAGGGCAACAAAGTCACCTGTGGATCCTCGTAGCCTCTCGTTGTGTGTGGCAACCTTCAGGAAATGGTCGATTCCGTGCGATGATTTGGTGGATGCGTAGGTCTTGTTGTTGTTGCTGTTGTTGCTCCTGTTGTTTCGGCTCGTATTGTTGTTGGTGCTGCGGAAACTGGAGGGAGCAACATGTCCGAGGGTAGTTGTTGTTTTTGTTCATCCTTATGTTTTTTTTCTCGTGCCTCACATTCTTTTTTGGCCAATCTCTCTGTCCCTCATGTCCTCTCCACAACACCCTCTCATTTTGTGCAATTTTTTTTTTCTTTGTTTGCTGATGTGTGTGCCTTTTGTGATGACAGTGTAGGTTCCACTTCGTCGAGCAACAAACCGCAGCCATGCTGTCACCACAGGAGGTTGCGTGCAACTTTATACCGGCGTACTTTGAGTGCCTCGCGTCACACCCCGAGGACCTCGCTGACATGTACGGCCAGCACTCATCCTTTGTGATCGTAGACTTCGAGTACGGCACAAAGGAGGCCAGCGGTGCTGAGGTCCCCCAGGTCATTGAGCGCCTGGCCCAGATCCTGGAGGGGTGCGAGATGAGCGTGGAGAGCTACACCGCTGTCCCTCTGTATGGCGGTGTGAGTGTGTACACGACCATGTCCGCGGAATCCAAGACGACTCGGCACTACTTCCAGTTCGTGACGATCCTTGAGTCGTGTGGAGCGGTAGCTTACGGGTCGGAGGCCTACTTCATCCGCCACCAGATTGTGATACGCCCCGGCGCCGCGGAGAAGGAGCAGCCCGCTGTGGAGGCCACCCCAGAGCCGCCCATAGAAGAGAAACTCGAGCCGGTGCCGGCGTCCGAGCCTGCGGCCGTTGTGGAGCAGCAGCAGAAGGAAGGGGGAGAGGAGGAAGAGAAGAAGACTGCTGAAGAGGCGCCGGCAATGAAGGATGTGGCTCCGCCGGCCGCCGA